TATTTTTTTATTTTATTCACCCATTAAATGGACACAACTACAGCTTATTGTATTTGTTCTGGTGAGTAGAATCATTCTCTTTTTGCAGTAAACACGGTCTTTTCAGAGAAAATGCAGTGTTTACATTACAGCCTAGAGATAACTCCACTGCCCATTCCTCAGATGGCTACTAGAGATGCTTCCTGGGGCAGTGCTGCACAGGTAGGGATCGACCGATATTGATTTTTTTGGAGCCGATACTGATAATCTGAACTTCCAGGCCGATTTTTTGAAAATCTTTTTTATTAAGTGGTAAATCCAGAAAATATTCATGCCAGTCAGATTTTTCTAATGTTTTCAAGAGTGAGTGAGTGTGAGAGAGAGAGTATTTGATTAGTAAATGCAGTGTCAGTAGTGGATGCAGTGTGCTTATGTGTAAAAGTGTGTGTAATGAACAACCCCCCCCCCACCCACTTAAAATGTTCATCTACCTTATCTTTTAGTCCCCCCCTCTCACCCTAGTGTTCATCTTCCTTTACCTGTACCTTAGTGCCCTCCCTTAATGTTCATCTCTCTCCCCCCGTCTCAGAGTGTTCTCCCCTCCCTTGTTCCATAATGTTCCTCCCTCCTTCCCCCTCCCTAGTCCTATAGGAGTTCTTTCCTCATTTCCTCCCCTCCCCCCATAGCGTTCTTTCCTCCCCCCTCTCCCAAAGTGCAACTTCCCCCGTCTTGTTTCCTGTACCCGACCGGACGTGCTCTCTCAGGGAGCACTTCCTTTCAGCCTAGCCAAATACAGAAACTATAAGTTCCTGTACCGCGGTGCACAATGCTCCACTCGGCCACGCTACACAGAGTGCCTGGCAGGAGGGAGTACTGTGTCACTCCAATCTAGGCCCCACCTCCCCCAAGATGCTGATTTGCCAGGGCTGTGTAGGCTCTGCCCCTGATTTGCCTCGTTGACAGTCTCAGTCTCTATGGGAAAGGATTGGCTCAGAGAAATCACTTCTGATGATGTCGGCCAGGCAGTCAGATCAGAAGTACGGGTAGCAGCTGAAAACTTGAATAGTACAAGTAAGATTTTACTATAAATTAGGGAGGCAAGGTGGGGTGCTATATAGTGGTTTTAACACTAAAGGATCAGGAATAAAAGGTCTTTAACATTAAACCAACGTTTTGCATGCCGGACCTTAAGGGCACACAACATAAACACTATTTTATTCAAGGTTAAAAATCATACAAATATAATATCCATATTATGGAGCATATGAAAATTGTCAATGTTTAATACAAGACTTTATTAAAGCCAAACTATATAGCAGCTCCAAAAGTTTGACAATTTCTACACCAAACCACTAAGGGGCAGTCTTGTCATATAGTTATATAACTAACATATGCAATCCGTATTTGAAAAGAAAAATGACAGGTTTGAGAGAGTATAAATACAATACAAATGAAAGAAAAAAAAAAAAAATGGAATTTATCCAATCACAAACTAACATGGTTATTAAGAATAGCAAAAAATGGTTAGGAGGGGCGTGGCCAGGACTCCGATGAGACCGGCAGCATAATCGCTGAGCTCCGTGCTTGACAAGAAAAATAAATAAATAAATAAATCTGCAAAACCCGGCACTAATTTTGAGCAATGACGACTAAGAAGCAGCGCAATACCACGGGTAACACCCCAACCACCGACAATCTGCCCGCAAAATCCTCCCTGAGAAGTGTTTTTTTTTTTTCAACGGAGCAATATGAACCGCAGCAGCGGAACAAAATGGCGCCCGCGACTAA